CCTCCGCCCGCCCCTGCGCACCGCCTCACACCCGCGCTCACACACACTCACACTCCCTCGCGCGCTCTCACACACGCACTCCCCTCCCTCCTCCTCCTCTGTTTATCTCCTCCAGCTGTCTGGGGACCCAGGAGAAGCTTAGCACCGCGCCTGCGCCACGCAGTCTCCGCCCCCGCCCCGCGCCTCACAGCCAGCGGCCACGCTACGGAGACAGCGCCTGGCCGTTTCCAGAATGGCGATCAGGGCCCCCCCCTCCAATCCCCCGCGCCCGGTCAACGTCCGCTGCCGGCGGCGCCTACTAACCTGCTAGTGGGGAAGCCCCGCACCGCCGCGACCAATCCACTTCTCCACTCGCCAGACCGGCAGCCAGTGGGCAGGCGGAAAAGCCGGGCCAAGCCCTGGGCATCCTGGGAGTCGTAGTTTTTCTCCTTCGGAGAGCTCCTGCAGCGCGGGCTCATCCTGCTCAGTTGCCATTAGTTACCCGGACGCACCTCCCACCCTACATCCACGTAAAATGCTCCCTCACATCGTTTCTGGGACACTCCCCTCACCCATTGCCCCCAGAACCCGACATATTCTCCTAAGAGCCTCCTCAAGACTTCTCAGAGTCTTAATTGCAGGACCCTTCAAACTGGAGCCCCAGGGCTCCCCAGAGCCAAGCCTCAGCTTACTCCTTCCTACTCTGGGAAGCTGCTGAAGTGGCACATTCGTCACTCTTGTCTCCCTGGCCTGAAGGAAAAGGATAAAAGGTATCAGTCTACACCGGGTGGCCTGGAGGGGAGCCAGTAGCACACACACTCTGGAAACCCTCAGTTTATTGGGAGAGACAAGGTGCGTCCAAGATTGGAGGAGGCACTGCTGTTCCCACCTCTGAGAAAGAGAGGTAGTTCCAGCCTTGTGGAGTCCCAAGTCTGATGGAGGAGACACGTCCTCTCTAAGGAAGTTCCCAAGGTCACAAGGGAATCATAATGCCTAACTACTGAAGGTAGAGGCCAGGTCCCACCCATGAGGAGCCTCGAGTCAGAAAAGGAAGACATAGAAAAAAAAAAAAGAAAGAAAGAAAAGGAAGACATAGTCATCTTCAGAGAATGGAAACTGGTCACTCACCCATAGGGTGCCATCTGTCAGATAATAACAACAATTTGCTTTTGTTGAGTATTTACTATGCCAGCACTGTATTGAGTACAGTTCCTTAGATAGGTACTATTACTGTACATGTTTTGCAGGAGAGGAAGCTGAGGCATAAGAAAGTTAAAAGCAGCTTGCCCAAGGTCACAGAGCTGATAAGGAACTAATCTGAGACTCAAACCCAGATCTGCCTGACTCCAGAGTTTGAGCTTTTGAACATTCCCTGTCCCTCCAGTGAGAACTAGGAAGAACCTACCCTCAGGAAGGACTGTATATACATATTTAGCATTTACAGTGTTTGAACCCTGTTTATCACTCCATGGGACCCACTGATTTCAGTTAGTCTCATCATTTTACCAAGGAGAAAAACTATGGCCTAGAACACGCTGGTGACTTGCCTAAAGTCACAAACTGTTAAGGGCCCAAATTGTTCACTCCAGTCCCACTGGTCCATCGAGAGTATCCCAACTCATCCTGAGCACACTACACCTGTATTCAAGCTATTCCCTCCACTTGCAATCACTCTCCTGCACCCATTTGTCTTACTGATCTGTTCCTTCTCAAAAATTCTGCTTAGCTAAACTATGAGTCAGCCAACCTCATGCCCCAAACTTGGGTCTGAATCTTAGAGTCAAGTGAGCCTTAATTTGCTTCCCTGCTCTGCATACCCAGCTTTCTGCCCTTCAGCAAGTTCTCTCTCATAGTGCCACACATTTCCTTGTTGTACTATTCTGATCATTACAGTTTTTCTTAGTAATAAAGTTCTTATTCCACTTACTTGTCTCAACTCTGTTCTCTGTGGCAACATAGATTTTGTGCATTAAATGAGGTGATATTTGCCTAAACTGTGAAGACTTGGGTCAACTTGGTAAGAGGTAACAGAAGTGGTAGCCCATGTGATTCCTTTTGCTCTTAAAAAATGTCTATGCTATGATGGCCCCACTAGAAGTTAGCAGATTTATTGAGACTGTTTTCTGTTGCAAGTAATAACCTGACCAGCAATGGCTTTAACACATGAGATTGGGTTTTCTCACATAACAAGAAGTTCTGAGATAGGTGACTGTTGTAATTAGTTCAGCTGTTTAATATAATTCATTTCTATTTTTTTCTGCTCCAGCATCCTCCATTTCAGTTTTTCAGTGTAGTAACAAAATGGCTGCAGCAGCACCAAGCATCATATCTATGTTCAAGGCAAGAAGAATAGGGAGAAAGGAAACAGCACTAGCTGTCTTTTACTAAGAAATCAAAAGCTTCTGAAGCTAACATAATAAAAAATAAATTTTTTTAAATTAAAAAAAAAAAGAAGTCAAAAGTTTTTTAGAAGCCCCCGGCAGCTTTCTGTTTATATCTCAGTTGCCAGAGTGATGTCTTATAACTGCCTACAAGATAGGTTTGGAAAAGTCCAGAAAGTGATTATTTAGCATTTCCAGCCTCCATATTGCAAGAAAAGGCAAAGGAAAAGAGATTAATGAAAGGATTTGGGGATAGACCAGGAGTATCTGCAGTAGAACCTTTCAAGATGATAGTCTGAGGCAGAACTCAGAGTCCAGGAGCCACGCCCACTTCTATATGGTTAGACTCTCCATGGTGCCAGGGTTCCTGTTATCAGTCAAAACCAGGGTAATGACTTGTGCTAGTCAAACTCACATAAGACACATCAAATAGAATTTCAATGTTTTACTGTATAATGGGGAGTAGTTGTTAACCTTACAGACATTAGAGCAAGGTTATTTCCCCAGGGAGCAGGTTAGTGCATCGAGGCACTGAAAAGCCAAGGCACTGTGATGGGTTACTTAGCCTTTTTATGCCTCTGTAAATAGAGCATACCATATGCCACCATCTACTTGACAAGAGTTACAAGCAGAAATTAGCAATATCCATGTGGAACACATTAAAATTAAGGAATTCAAATTTTAAACACCAAGGTGATTATTTTGTAATGTATGAAAATATCTAATCACTAAGTCATACACCTAAAACCAAGGTAATGTAAATCAGTTATACTTCAATTAAAAAAAAAAGTAAACGTAAATGTAAAAAGTAAAAAAAAAATTTTAAACACCAATGAATCAGATGATTAATGCTACCAAACTTCAAGATTTAGTTAGCAATCCCACTCCTGGGCATATATCTGGAGGAAAATATAATTTGAAAAGACACATGCACCCCAGTGTTCACAGCAGCACTGTCTGCAATAGGTAAGACATGGAAACAACCTAAATATCCACCGACAGATGACTGGATAAAGAAGTCATGGTACACACACACACACACACACACACACACACACACACACACACACAATGGAATACTACTCAGTCATAAAAAAGAATAAAATAATGCCATTTGCAGCAACGTAGATGGATCTGAAGACTGTCATTCTAAGTAAGGTAAGCCAGAAAGAGAAAGAAAAACGCCATATGATACTGCTTGTATGTGGAATCTAAAACACACACACACACACAAAATAAAAAAAAGATTTACTCTAAAACTACAATAATCAAGACAGTGTGGTATTGATGAAAGAAGAGACAAATAGATCAATGGAATAGAATACAGAACCCAGAAATAGGCCCACACAAACATGGTCAGCTGATCATTGACAAAGGAACAAAGGTTATTCAATGGAGAAAGGGTAAACTTTTCAACAAATGGTCCTGGAATGACTGGACATCCACATACAAAAAAAAAAGAATGTAGACACTGCCATTATATCTTTCACAAAAAGTAGCTTATAATGAATCATAGACTTAAAACAACCTGGACTTCATTAAAACTAAAAACATTAAAATAAGAGACACTTAAGAGGACAAAAAGACAAGTCACTGACAGGAAAAAGAAAAATTGCAAAACGCTTATCAGGTAATGGACTTGTATTCAAAATATACAAAGATCTCTTAAAACTCAACAACCCAATTTAAAAATGGACGAAGATTTAAAAAAAGGACAAA